AAAGACATTTGCCCGGGGGAAGGGCGGGGGGGGGAGAAGCGGAGGGGACAGATCTGGAAAGTTTGGTGTAGGGGGATGGGCAGGTCTACCAAGGTCCAGTCCTTGAACTGAGGTCGGTAGCTTTTCCCACAGTTCTCTGGGTCCTGTAGATTTCCAACCTTCCCAGTCCACACTTCGCCAATCCACCTACCCTGCTCTCCTCCCAACTACCGCCTTCCCCCGAACATAACGCACCCTTAAAATGAATGCATACATGTTGTATTTCCGGCCATATACGGCCAAAATGAGGGTGCGTTGTGTTCGGGGGAAGACGGTAGTCCTTGCAAAACCCAGAGATTATTATTTTTAGTATATTTGCTCATCTAGAGACTGGTTTAGACTATCTCTGATGTCCTCCCATCTGGCTGTTATTCCTGTTTGGCCCGCCAGCTCCGCGTGGGGACCACCCCCGGACATTGTAACAAGATGTGCTCAATAGTAGTCTCTTCTCTTTTACCGGCGGCATGGCATGCCAGGCAGGATTTGCACCAAGAAAGGGCAGCTCCTTTTCATTGTTCCAATCTGCAATCTGGTGCTGTCTACTATCCAGCTGTTTGTTGGCAAGCAGCGGTGAGCAATCCGCCACTCACGACAAGGAAGCAAAATTGGCTGGCCTTACCTTATTTCCTTGGCACCATTTAAAGTTTTAAACCAGCAGTACTTGGCCCAGCTATCATTGCCGAGCCTGGAATGCCCCAGCCGCCAATTTATGCCGAAGCGCCGGGGTACCGTTTTGACTTTTTTTTTGGCTGGCGCTTCCAGCCATTGTGGTCCGGTACCCCGAAGGCTTTAAGGTCTGGCCCGTTAACGGGGAAGCGCTGCGCCGATAGCTGGGCCATGTACCGTTTGTTTAATTGGGCACACAATATGTCCCCGCTGCCCACACGTTTAAAAAAAATGCCTTGTCCATCTATCCTGCAGGACCTGCACCACTCTTTTTCCCACAGCTTAATCTTTGTTCGAAGCACTCGGTATGGCTGTTTAAGTACACCTCTATGTAGTGTGTCCGATGCTTGTCCCGATGTCTGCCATGTCCGCTCCGGCGACTCTGGAGACTCCGCCAGGTGGAGTGCACAGTCCTCCATCGGGGCTTCAGGTTGAAATGTTTGTCATTTACGGTTCTTTATCTTGTTTTCCTCTTCTTTTCTTAGAAAAAGAAAAAAAAAAACTCTTCGAAAGGCCTCTATCCCGGTGGTGATAAGAGAACACCGTAATTGAGGCTTTGCCTGTCGGGCTGCTCCATCTATTGTTGGTGGGGAGCCTTGTCATTTCTGGCTCTTTTTCCTTACTCGAATCCGGCACAGTTGTCCCTTTTTTTATCCAGTCCACTTCACCTTGCCTGACCCGTTCTTGGCCCAATTAATCAAGGATTGGAGGCAGCTTCCCCTCCCCGACCGCCCCCCGACTACCCCGGCCGCCCCCCTACTACCCTGACTGCTGGGACAAGGTAAACCGGCAGCCCCTCTTTGGTAACCACTGGATTTTTTTTTATTTTTATTTTTTTTTTGGGGGGGGGAGTGGGGGAACATCAATCTATTCGTGGGGAGCTGCACGTGCTGGGAAGCGGGCCCAGCGTCCCAGATACAGTTACAAAAATCATAGGAATATCAGGGCCATCACCAGGCTAAGGGGCAGCCTACAGCCCTGCAAGGTAGAATTTTTTGCAGTTCCCAGTCTCCATGGAGGAGCTGGGTGAGAAGAGGAATCACGACAATAAAACACCTACACGATGAGGCGGCACTTTGCTGAGCAGCAGCTACATCAGGCCTTGGACTGCCACAACATAGACGCATGACTCGAGGACCTGATCTCTTCCATCCCACTAGCCTCAGGCTGGTAGTGATCCTGCACCTGGGCCCCTCGCTGGCGGGAGGTGATAGGGTGGCAAACAGACAGGCGATGGAACGAGTAGATTCCATCATGGAGGCGAGACAGGACAACATTGTCATAAACTGGTACCGGCTTGAGCTCTGATTAATAGAGTGGATTTGGAGAATTGTGGACAACAAAAGTGTTCATATTTTGGCAATCTTGAAGCTTCTGGTCCGTGCATACCCCATGAATGATGCCCATACCGTTCAGTGTAGGGCGATTCACTGTAGGGCGAACCAGTGTCTACCCCGCGGACGTGACTGGGGCCGGTCAGCGGAATGTGACCGGCTGGTCATAGGCCCCTGTGCCGCCGTTCACGGTGACCGGCCAAACCATGACAGCGAGGTTTCATTTTTTATTTTTTTCCCTTCAACAGCTCACCCCGCCACCGTCGCCACAAGCCCAACAAAGTAATGACATTAAAATTAAAAAAAAAAAGAAACAACCTATAAATTAGTATAAAATTATAAAACAACAAACAAAAATGCTCATGCTGGCTCCTTTCCATGATTTTTTTTTTCTTTAAAAAAAAAACATATATATTCTTCCTTAAAAAAATTCAAAAAATAGTAATAAAACAATTATGGGCGAGTACCCTCCGATGACCCCCACCCACCTCCAAAAAAAATAACACGCTCCCCACTCCACATGAGAGCCGTGTCCGGAAGCCAGTCACGAAAATCATGACCGGTGACCGGCCCCTGGTCCCTGGTACCCCCATTCATGAGCAGGGGTACGACACTGGGGTGAACGGCTGTTCACGGACCCCCTGCACGGCCACTGGAAAACAGGGCTTTTCCGAGAGGCACAAAGGGTTTGGAACGGCGTGGGGGGCGAGGTCGGGTGGAGGGGGGATGCCACACCTCGCCCCCCATCGAAAAGTTTGAAGGGTCCCCACGCTCTTCTAAATCTATGGGTTAAACTTTATGGAAATCTCTCTCTCTCTCTCTCTCTCTCTCTCTCTCTCTCTCTCTCTCTCTCTCTCTCTCTCTCAATTTCAACAGTTGAGAGGGTGTACCAACTGAACTAGGCCAGCTGGTCATACTTACTTTTTTGTCGATGGAAATGAGAATAAAAAATCGCCAAAGCTGAGCACTCAAAATTTGGGTCAAAATTTTGCGCACCCCCCAAGTAGGCCGAAACCTTTCTGCGGCCTCCATTGATGAGCTCAACCAACGCCTCTTGCAGGGGAAAATCTAGCCCGACCTTCCAGGTATTGGTGGGTTTACAGCAGTGCTGGGTCCGCTGGGCCATCCAAAACACAGGGGAGCAGTTGGTGACTGGGGATCGTTGCTGCAGGCTGATCTCTTGAGCTGCAATTGCAGCCCAAAAATCTGTTCATCAGGCTGATCCCTTGGGCTGCAATGAGGGGCCTGCAAATTAGCCTGCAGCAAATCGAGCCACAAGGGGGTTGACAGGGGTCCGGCAAGGAGGGTGCAAGGGGTCCTGCAAGGGGACCTGCAATGGGGGCTACATACACTCTGGTCTGCAATGGGGGCTGCCTACACTCTAGTCTGCAATGGGGGCTACATACAATGTGGGCTGCAATGGGGGCTACGTACAATGTGGGCTACAATGGGGGCTATATACAATGTGGGCTGCAATGGGGGCGATATACAATGTGGGCTG